CTGCATCGTGTGTAAAAACGAGAGAAGAATGCGCATGTGTGTGCGAGAGATCGGCGTTCTAAATACTACTAATACCACTGTATCGGCGCCTGTCTGCCGAGCTTTTTTCCACTTCCATCGGATCGTATAAATATCACCTGAACATTTGTATTAATTACATTTAATTGCAAGGACGTCTCGCCAAGAGGTATACTCCGAACACAAATCGCACCCTGCTATTAATTCTTTCACGGGAAGAAATAAAGCTCTGTCCTTGCAGTACATAGGGATGCACAATTGAGAGAATGCAAGACTGTACAACGCGCTTTCATTAGCAAAGATCATTCAAATCATCAATTCCGCACGTGGAACGTTTAATATCGCTGCAATTAAGATTGCCTTTACCGGATTTAATAGCATTTAAAGAGCTGGGATGAAAGCCGTGGGCGCGTTTCTCTCTCTCTTCACGTTCAAACGGCACATACGGAAAGTGACCTAGATTTACCATGTGTTCGTCATACATTTTTCATAAATTTCAAATCGATTTCGCCTCAGTGGCGACTTAATGGACGATTATGATTGATGTGATCTTGACAGTTAAATCCGAAACTGAATATCTGTTGATATACACATTTTATCTAACAAGGCGCTTTCACAATGTTTTGCCAATATTCATAATAAAATATAATTGTTATATTAATCGATTTCATAATTATGATTCACATTGAATTTTTTCTAAAGGAAAATTAGTTGGAAAAAAAAATATATTTTATCCGAGTAATTTATATATATATATTAGAAAAATATGTGTATAGGTATATTTAATTTTATATGTACTAGAGAAGCATTCTATATATATATATACATGATTTGTATGTATAATAAAGTGTAGAAACTTTTTCTGTCATATCATATTGGAAAAGTAATCAAAATTGATGGCAAGTATATCACACGAGTGTTTGGAACATCGACTATGTGAATGGCGTAATAAATTGTGTCCCTCTATTCCGGTAACCGAATGATTGGATACGCTTTACAATTTTGTTTTCGATTGAGGAATGTGCCGCATTAGTCAAGCCGAGCCATATCATGTATGATTCTTTCTCGACTGACGCCAATCGATTGATAACACGAATTGCAACTGTATGAAGACTGAATGGAAGCGCAAACGTCAGACTAAAATACATATATATATATATATTTATATAATATATAATAAATATAATATATATATATATATATATTTTATTTATATTATATATATATATATATATATATATATATATATATAACATCATTTCTTATCTCACAATTAGTTATATATTTATTTGACAAAATAAATAAATACCGCTCAGAAGATTTGGAAAGTTACGCTGGATATTGGAAACAATTTGCATAAAATCACGGAGCCAACTTGCATTTCGAGATGAATTAATGTAAATAGAAAATAGGAAATGTATATACAATAGAACGTAAGTACAATAGAATGTACTTACTACGTATAACGTAGAGAGTAATAATGATCGACTTCTGTCTTGTTCGTCTTTACGTAAATCTGTTTCGCATTTCTTTACTGTGACAAACACAATTAAACTTTTCAACCATCTTAACGTGCGCGCACTCCAACTTCAAATTAGTATTCGTAGTTATTTAAGGTAATTCGGATTTGTTTGCCGTGCAATAATTAGAAGAGAAGCTAGAACGTGCAAGCAGCAAATTAACTCTGTGTAAATTGGAAAATCATTTGTCGAGATAAAATAAAATGATATTTATTGCATTTTCTATCATATTAACACATATATATATATTATATTACAGTAAGAGGATATATAATGTGAAATATATATTTTATTGTATATATTTATAATATAGTTATAGAAGAGAAAGAAAGAAAATAATATACAAAAAATTAAAAATTTATTTTACAAGTTTCATAAATATTAAATAATTTTTTATAGAAAAGTTCTTTTATAAAAATATTAGATTCTTGAAGATTACGAAAGATAATAATGAAAGTATCTCGGCATGAAAAATATGCCATTTTTATTTATTTTATTCTGTTCATACATTTTATGTTGTTGAATGTTTAATTATTTATATGAATTTATATGAATAAAATGAGGAGAAAGGAAAATTCTACTTTCCTGTCTAACAGAGGATGATAATAATAATGACTTTTAATCTCATCTGTGGATTATGACATACACGTGGTAGATTAACTGAAATTATGTTAATTAAATTCATATTATTCTAATGAATCACGTAACTTGAGCAAAGTTCAACATCTAATATTCTCTTTCTGAGATATTAAACTTTCTGCACGTTTGCACTTACACATTGTAATTAATTTTCTTCCTTAATCATTCTTGCGTTTGTCTCTAGATATTTATCTTCCTCTCGAAATATTTCTTTCATTTTTCTCAGTGCAACGGAAGCTTTTTGTCATTCACAGCAATATTTATTTCGCGCGTAACTCTTTTTTTTTCTCTCTTTCTACGACTAGCGACTAATAGCGAGCACTAAGCGCGTAAACTTGTAGTTTACATCTCGAACATCTTTTGCTCGTGTCGCAATATAAATTTTATCTCGCACCCCTTCTCTCTCTCTCTCTCACAGTCAGGGTCGGGCAGATACTTTGAAAATATTTAAATACAAGATACAAGATACTGTTTGATATATATTTAAATATTATTGAATTACTTTGCTTTTGAAATATATTTTAAATATTAATTGTATTTTAATATATTTTTAAATACTTTTAAATACAATTGTTTTTAAAATTTTCTGATTATATATTTAATATTAAAATAATTACAAAAAGATTATCTCTTATTTAAAAAATTTCATTTTCAGTATAGTATTGATAGTAATAGTAGATGATTTTATTGTAATTACTTTAATATTAAGTATAATATTGTCTGACGATAGAATTATATGAAAATAATATCAAAAGTAAGTTAATTTCAACATTTTGAAAGATAAGTTTATTTTAATTTTAAACTTTATAAGAAATAATAATAATATTAAAATAAACATATAATAGCGCATATATAATATTATACATGTAATTACATAAATACATTTAAATAAAATAATAAATTACAAAATTTGAAATACTTGATTATTCGGTATATTTAAATGCACTATTTAAATAAGATACATATTTAAATACAGTAAAGTATCTCGGATAACTTGAAGATACATATCTGCCCAACCCTGCTCACAGTGTTTTACCGTGTCGTTTGAAAAATTCATAGGAGATCAAAAAAACAATCTCGGCCATCTTTTCGCGGGAAAAAGACGGAACAGAGGGGCCGAAACAACAATAATCGAATTTTAGATCCGCTGCGAGACATTAAGCCGCCCCTCGCATTTACCCTCTTGTAAGATCCATTGTAGTTTCTCCGCCCCGTTTCGTTCTTCCCCTATCGCGGTGTTACACAGAAACCACTAATTAAACTTGTTAAACTTCGCTTCTTCGCGGGAGAGATTTGTAAAAATTAGTCAGGTCTGGCGAAAGTATCTCGCTTAAAACTTTTCTTCTGTTTTTTTTATCTTTTTTTTTTTTAAGGGCTGTTACGCGACCCGATAACACGCGACTTGTCGCATAACGGTGAAATGTCAGTGAAGGAATAAAAAGAGAGTCGGTCTGAGGGAGATGATGTTTCGTTCTGGCGCGTCCTTCGTGTTTCCCGTTCGTGCGAAGAGCGATAGGGACTCTGCAAAGATTTCTTTTTACGAGCACTTCCTTTCTCGAGGAGACGAAAAATATAGAGTGCAGCGAAAGTCGGTTTGCAAAGTAACAATAAACATGTATAGGTGTACGCATATATATATTATATATATATATATATATATTATATTATATAATATATATATATATATGTGTGTATTATATATTATATATTATATATATATATATATATATATATATATATATATATATTATATATATATATATATATTATATATTATATATTATATATATATATATATATATATATATTATATATTATATATATTATGTATTTTTTATATATATATATATATATATACATGTAGATTGAATGGAGAAGATATTGCCACCTTTGAAGATTCTCTGGCAATAGAAAAATACGAGACGCGGAATAATGACGGAAATGTGACGAGGAGGCACGTGTGCGTGTGAAAATATCGAGCAAACACGGTAGATTAGATTAGCCGGAAGCAGGAGATAGCACATCGACAATCACGATATGTGATTTATCGCCGGTTGTCATCGAGTATCAAAATCACATTTTCGTTTGCTTTACCGAGCGAATTGATAGCGTATGCCGCTGGCACAGATATCGCAAAAAGGAGATGGCAGAGATATCGCAAAAGGCGATGGCAAGTTAAAGTTGCATTTTCATATTTCTCATTGCTTAATACAGCAACTTTACACAAATATAGATATATGTTAATTTTATATGAACTTGAAAGAGAATTTAATTTTAGTGACAGATTTTTTTTTCAGGGTTAAAGTGAGTCGATTTTTACAGAAATTATTTTTTTTTTTACTGCTTTTTTTTGATATTTAATATTAAACATTTTTTTATTAAATTGTAATTTTTTAAGAAATTATGTAAAATGTAGCACTGTCTTAGAAAATTAATTTATGCAAATTATTATTAATTTTTAATTTATGAAAAAGAATATTTTAACTGAAAATGATTCTTTTAATTACGAATCTTATGATATATTTTTTATTCTTGGAATATTTTCTTTTTTCATATTATGCTGTCTTTTCAATTTATTATTTAAATCTGCTTATAGTAATGAATAAATATTTCGTTGCTCTCTCGAAATCATCAATTTATATTTATAACAAAAGTACGATTAGCATTTTGAAGCATATCCTTTATTTAATAAATTTCTGCTTATCGTTCCAGAAATTTTAAAAGCCTTTCCCAAATTAGTTTTATAATTTTCCTCTGCAGGCATTATTGGCTCAATAATTAGCAATCAATATGTATGAAATAAAAAAGTAAGATATTACTTACGTTCTAAGCTTTATGATTGGGTCCATTGAAATTGATCGCCTTGCTTGATCCTGACGAATCTCATCCAGACGGTCATTATACTGTAACAAAAAAAAAATACAAATGATTAATTTATCTAGAAAAATACATGGTTCAATTTAATTATTCCTAAGGTAAAGCATGTCGAATGAGCTACAATTTCTTAGAAAACACTTCTCAGTTTCAGGATAAATTCGAGTCTCCGTTATTACTTATATATTATTTATATGATATCAAGCCAAAATGGTGTTTCTGACATTTGCCCAAAGGTCATCTTTGATGCGTAAGTAAAAAATAAGTGAGTCGAAGAGCTATTCTAACCGTGAAAGGTCTCCTTGACAAATCTCAATTGGCGACCGTATATATTTTACGAGTACCTACATCAAAGGCCGACAGTAACAACCCTCTATCAGGGGTCTGTTTCCTTTTTTCGGATCATTCGTAAAACCGTTCGAAAGCGCAGACACTAAAATCTGTCGAAAGCGATCTCTATTCATGCATTCGTTACTTCGAATTGTGAAAAATAACGCAGCATGCCATTTGACAGGCGAGATTTGTCGGATGATTTTTAAATTCCGTGACGCGGATTAAGTTCTCGACGCTACTCGTGGCGTGTCTGTTTAATGCGATTTATAGTGCTTTGTCCGAAATGTTTTAATATCTCTTCAGAACGCGGCGACAAAAATATCAGGGTGTCTAGCGGTCAGAGAAATCTGAAAAACCGGGTATTGTCAGGGAATTTTATAAATCTGGAATTGTCAGGGAAAAGTCAGGAAATTTTTCATATTAATCTACATTTGTCTTAATAATTTGAATTTTTTTATTAATTAAATATAAACAGCGTGTTCGTTAATTTATATTTTCATCTTATATTATAATTTGTTAAAATATATTAAAAATAAAATTTGATATAAATAGAAAAGGTGGTTATTTAAATAGTTTACAGTGACACGTTTGTTTCGTATATAATGCAAATTGTAATTGATTAAAATTTTGTTTTCTTTTTTAACCTCCGAACCTTTTCACTGTTGACAAAAATATCTCAAGAATTTCATGATTTAACATTGAAAATTGATTTATCATATAAATATACGCAAATGATATATTTGGAAAAAATAATACTAAAAAGTCAGGGAAAAAATGAATTTCTGGTCTTAGAAAATCTCAGGGAATTTTTTTCATCGAGTTTGCTGGACACCCTGAAAAAATGTAAAAAAAAAGAATGTTTCTCTTGAATATAAGTAACAATTTTTCTGGAACGGTGTAGAGAAAATACGCGGCGAATTTTCGCGCGACACACAAAAAACTTGTAAAGTTTTCCTTGCTTAACGTCTGTTTAGTATTCTGCCGTATTTTCGGCGATGCGAATAAGAAGAAGAAGAAGAAGAAGAACGGGATGGTGTTACCGGAACGAGAAAATCGGCCAGGGGTGAAATTATTCTCAACACCTGTTCCCACGGGAAGTATAATGCGACATATATTTTTATCCAGCCCGCGCTCGGGATAAATCAAGTGCTTGCGAAGAAATAAGATTTTCCCGTCCTACCCTAACTCAAGTTTACTGCTCCGTGTACGGGCCACTGTGTGCCTTAAAACCTCTCCTGCCGAAAATAAACGATCGTTCATCGTGTAAAAATTACACAAAAGTGACTTAAGATAGTTTTCAGCCAGAGATCGGATTTACGTATACAAAACTTTTTCACCGCGCACGTTTAAGAAAGTTCACGTTCCGATACCTTTTTTCTCGATCGCAGAAAGAGGCAGCGAGCAAAAGGAGAAGCAGCATGGGATATAAGACGACGAATGAGGGAAAAATAGGACAGAAGTAGAGAGAGAGAGTCGCTCTTTCGCGATATATAGAAGGACAGTCGGGAATCGCGAGCAAAAGTTACGGTTGGATAAAAAGCAGTTCGAGAATCGAGTTCGTGCTCGATTTGGCTCCGAAACTTGTGTGCGCGCGGCACTACTTTATATATCGCTATAAATATTACACGGAAACTGGAACGTTTTAAAGAAAAAAAAAAAAGAGAAAGGAGGAAAACCTCAAACACTATCTCCGGCTCTCTTTGCGCCTCCATACATGTTCCCATTCCGTTTTCCCGAGAGAGTGAGAGAGAAAGAGAGACTGGACAATTTTGTGCTAAGACGCGGAATTTATTGCGCTATACTTGCGAGTTTTCTGTTTTATTGCGGAATCTCTTCCCTTTCTCGGACAAAACGACGAACTCTCGGACTCTCCTTTTATCGGGCGCGGAATATCGCGTTACCTTCGAGAAATCCGAATTTACCACTGAAAAGCGTCCTTCCCTAGTCGACCCGAGCGACCCGAATGTATCCGCGTTATATTTAGTAAATCAATCGTAGCTAAGGATATAGGATGATGTTCTTTAAGCACATGATAATGTCAAATGGAAACATTGTTATTTTTGAACGTACCAATAATGTTCAATTATAAAGTCCTTCGCGCGCGCGTATACATTTTAAATATTTACTTGAAATCAATTATATTTTTACATCGCGATATAAGACCAGGGTGTCCAGCAGTTAGGGAAAACCGGGCGTTGTCAGGGAATTTTAGAAATCTGGAATTGTCAGGGAAAAGTAAGGAAATTTTTCACGTTATTCTACATTTGTCTCAATAATTTGAATTTTTTTATTAAATAAATATCAACTCCCAGCACGCTAATTTTCCGTGTTGTTAAAAATCGATTCATCTACAGCGTGTTAATTTATATTTTCATCGTCGTGTTAGTTTATTTCAATGTATTATATATTTCAAAATATATTATAATATTGTTCAAGAACTTAAGTTTATTTTTTTTATTAAAAATCAATACATTAATTTTTAAATGTTACATTAATTAAAAATGTTTTATTTAAGTTTTGTTGTGATATTAGACATCGTTAAATATATTAAAATACATGTATTATAATTTGTTAAATTATATTTTTACATCGCGATATAAGACCAGGGTGTCCAGCAATTAGGGAAAACCGGGCGTTGTCAGGGAATTTTAGAAATCTGGAATTGTCAGGGAAAAGTAAGGAAATTTTTCACGTTATTCTACATTTGTCTCAATAAATTGAATTTTTTTATTAAATAAATATCAACTCCCAGCAAGCTAATTTTCCGTGTTGTTAAAAATCGATTCATCTACAGCGTGTTAATTTATATTTTCATCGTCGTGTTAGTTTATTTCAATGTATTATATATTTCAAAATATATTATAATATTGTTCAAGAACTTAAGTTTATTTTTTTTTATTAAAAATCAATACATTAATTTTTAAATGTTACATTAATTAAAAATGTTTTATTTAAGTTTTGTTGTGATATTAGACACCGTTAAATATATTAAAATACATGTATTATAATTTGTTAAATTATATTAAAAATAAAATTCAGGTGATTATTTAAATAGTTCATAGTGACATGTTTGTTTCGATTATCGTATATAATGCAGATTGTATAATTGATTTGAATTTTTATTTTAACTTCCGAATCTTTTCATCGTTGATCAAAATACCTCAAGGATTTAACATTTATAATTGATTTATCATATAGATATATGCAAATGATATATTTGGACAAAATAATACTAAAAAGTCAGGGAAAGAATTCATTTCTGGTCTTGGAGAAACTGAAAATGTCAGGGAATTGTTTCCATTGTATCTGCTGGACATTCTGAAGGCGATATAAATGAACGATTAAAGGAGAATAACGTTATATCGATGAAATAGCTCCGATCGTCCTGTTTTCAATTTTCCATATTTGCAAGTAAATTGACTTTCGAATAGAAGAGAAAGGATCCTCCGCCCAAGGATCAAGGAAAATGATTGCGCAGTTACGTTTTTCGTAAATATTCTTCAGATCCGCCGAAATTACTTCAAACGAGCTACGTGGAATTTATTCGTAATCTATATCGCAGAGAGAAAGATGTTAATAACACGGTAATAACATGTGAAAAACATGCTGTTGCGCGATTTGATCTCATTGTACTGCATGATATTACATGGTATTCCTATGCGGTTGCAGTTTTGTCGTTTGCAACAAACTGCAGACAACATATGCTGCAGTGCACGTGACACATCGTTATTATGATTAAATTGGGAAATTACTGCGTTTAATCTTAATATTAGAATATTAACCATATTTCTTGTATACGTAGAAGATATCTCGACTTTGGTAAAATCCGCGATATATTTAAGAATATTAAAGTTTGCGTTACGTTCGCAAAAGTTTTCTAAACTCTTTTATATTTGCAACATACTATACTCAGTCAGAGTAACGATACAAGAAGTCGGTAAAAATAAAATTCAAACATAATACAATTTCCATGCATGTCTATCTTTATATATGACATCGCACTTTCGAGTTTCCTCTTTCTCATATCATTAAAAAGTTGCTGCAGTAAAGTAGAATTTCATATTAAATAACATTTTGAAAATTATTTTTTCCACACACACAAAACGAAATATAACTCGTCATATATATGTTATAAGAATTCAAATGAATAATTTTGCAGATTTATGTGAATATTATGTATTATTGATTCTCTTGTTTAAAAAATCGATTTATTATTGGAAATAAATTGAATAACAATTTCACGTCATATATATATATATATATATCTAGGTTTACTGACGTATGAAAATATACATATGTATATATGTATATGTCGAATATTCGATATAAACAAGATATTGTATTGTGAACATCGTTCAATTGGCAGTAAGCCAAATTGTTATCGATTATATGTACTATATGTATATATTTCTTGTTGTTACTTGTATCGAATATTATCAACATTATATCTATTACAAAACGAAATTAAAAAGTCAAATTATTAGGCTGGCCCAGATGATTTATTGTTGCCAATTAGAAATGTTATATAAATAATTTTGTCGTTTTAGTTTTATTAAAGTTGACGTTTAATGTTTCTGTTAGTAATTGTGCACTTCATTGATTAATAATGTGACACGTTGATAATTTGAAAAAACATGATGGAAATTACGTATTTATGTTCTCGTATGTATACAGTCGAGTACAAACATTATCGAAT